CTTTCATACACAACAAAAGTAAATTGCTTACCATCATTCTAACAATTGCTCCCCATAATCTGGAAAAGGCTTCATAAAATCTGATGCTGTGGAGGTCTTATTAGGACCTTCATTGTGTGCATATAATTTTTCAACATCGTAACGATTATTTCTTTTCACCTTCGTTATCTTATACGGCCCTAAAAACTTAGGTTTTATCTTCAAACCACTGCCATATTGTGTGCGTTTGATAACTACTAAATCACCTTCTTTGTAAAACTTACTTTCCTTTCTGTTTCGATTATAGTTAGTTCTATTTTCTTCTTGAACTTTATGTATTTGTTGTTTTGCATTCTTTCTAAGTTGTTCCCTGTAATCAATAAAAGTGTCTCTTTCTTCTTGTGCTAATAATTCCAATATTTCTAAATCTTCTTTTCTATTCATTTTTGTACCAATTAACATTTCAAAAGGGGTTGAATTTATACTACGCTGATAAGTACTGTTTAATGCTCTCTGTACTTTGTTGATATGTTTGTACCATTGTCCAGGTTGCTCAATTGACAGTTTTGTTAGAATAGGTATGATTATCCTGTGTATTCTTTCTACCTGTCCATTTCCTCTAGGTATACCTGTAGTTATTAGTACTTGCTCTATATTTTCCTGTTCACAATATTGCTTGAAGTCATTGCTTGTAAATGCAGTACCTCTATCAGTAATTATTCTTCTTGGATTACCAAATGTCTGCTGATGTATGCTGATTTTTTTCAACACCTCCTGTGTAGAAGTACTTTTTGTTGGAAATAACCAAACAAACTTTGTAAACCCGTCTACTATTGTAAGAATATGGTTGTATTGCTTCTTCGTTTCAGTAAAAGGTCCAATATGATCTAAATGGATTGTATGTAGAGGAACATCTACTTTCTCAATAGGGTTCAGATATCCTTCTTGTTTACCCTTTTTACGCATCGCCAACAAACAGGGTATACATGATGAAATATAATCTTCTATCTTCTTATCTAATCTTGGAATATAAAAATCTTTTTCTATCAATTTCATTGTTTTCTTCTTTGAAAAGTGACCATTTTCATGTGCTCGCTTGATAATTTCAATTTCCATTGCCCGAGGAACTACAAAGCATTGTTCAATACCTTTACAAATTATTCCATTTCGCAGGCTGAAGTCTTGATACAGTTTTCCATCTTCTAGTATCTGCTTAATGGCATTTAACCCTTCGTCACTGCATTGTGCACGTCGTAACTCACTATGTAAATTCAATGTCACCACTGATACAACAGGGTACCGGCTTAAAGCATCTACATGCCTCATCTTAGATCCTTCACGATGTTCTACAATAAAATCGTAGTCCTGCAGGAACAAAATCCATCTTGCTACTCTAGAACATAAAGCTAACTCCTTCTTATTAAGAGTCATCTGAAAAGCTTTACAATCTGTTACCAATTTAAAATGATGGCCAAATAAGTAATTTCTAAACTTTTTTATGCCTTCAATTATAGCCAATGCTTCCAATTCATAGCTGGTATATCTACTTTCTGCATCTGTAGTGCGTCTACTCATATAATGAATAGGGTGCAAATCACCATTGCAGTCTCTCTGCATCAATATAGCTGCATAAGCAACACTTGAGGCATCTGTGTGAAGCTCGGTATCTGACCCAACTTCAAATAATTTCAAAACTGGTTTGCTTGACAACTTTTCTTTTAACAATTGGAATGTTTTTCTGTGTTCTTCATTAAATTCAAATTTCTTATTTTTCTTCAACATGTCGGTTAAAGGTTTTGCAATAATAGCATAATTCAGTATAAATTTTCTAAAGTAGGAACAAAGTCCCAAAAAACTGTGCAACTGCTTCTCATTCTGTGGCTCAGGGAATTTAATAACAGAATCTGTCTTCCCTGGCGATGGCATAATTGCACCATTTTCAATCACATGACCCAAATATTCAACTCTTTTCACAAGTAATTGACACTTCTTCCAATTTATTTGGAGCCCATATTCAGATGCTATGTGAAGCACTTCTTTTAATTTCTCTATTGCTTCTTTTTCATTGATTGCTGGAATAAGTAAATCGTCAATAAAAATGATAACAATACCTCTTCGTATCAAGTCGTGGAATATTATAGAGATAAAACGAGTGAAAACCTTAGGGCTTGTAGCTAAGCCAAAAGGTGCTCTCAAAAATTCATATTGGCCAGTATTTGTCACAAATGATGTATTCTTAATTGATGCTTCATGTACTTTCAAATTAAAAAATCCATTTTTTAAATCTAATGCACTAAATATATTTCCTTTTGATAGCCTATCTAATAACTCATCGATAATAGGTAAAGGGTATTCATCTTTTACAATCTTCTGATTCAACTTTCTATAATCAACACACATGCGAAGAGTACCGTCTTTCTTTCTAACAAGAACCAATGGACTAGCATAATCTGAAAAACTCACCCGAATAATTCCTTCTCTTAACCATTGATCCACTTGATGATTTACCTCATGTTGTTCTTTTGGAGAAAGTCGTCGTGGTCGCTGTGATACCGGAATGTCATCCTTGAGTGTGATCTTCAGCTCTATAGGTGCATCTTTCGTTTGACACGGCTTATACTCTTCCACTAACTTAACCACCTCTTCCTTTACAGCAGCATTCAGAATATGACCTACGGAGTCAATAGAACATGGAAAACAATTCAACTTTCGTATCCAATCATTCGGTTTTACCCACACAGAACCACCTTTCATAACCAATAACACATTTTGTAAGAAATCATGCCCCAATACTACTTTATATGGTATACATTCACTGGGTATAACATAAAATAAAACATCGTTATAAACACAATTATCAATTTCGATATCTGTAATGAACTGTCCAGTTGATATCACCTTTGCACATCCTAATCCCGTTAATGTCACATTCTTATTAATATCACATTTAGGAGAACCGATCTGGTCATAAAATTCAGACGATAACAAATTGACGTCGCTTCCCGAGTCAATCAGAGAACTTGCAGTTTTTCCGTACATCTTTATATTCTTTACTGATTTACTTCGCGTTGTTCGATAATTCGACTGCTTGTTTACATCTAATACGTCAAAGTCATTTCTGTCAAACTCCTGCGCCATGTTGTCGACAGTGCTGCCATCTTGATTCATGACAATTGATTCTGCTTTACCGACGTTTACTGTAGCGCCATCTTTAGAAGTCGCGATCAAAGTGCGTTTTCGCTCGCTTTCGTTCGTTGTTGTCGTTTCCGTCTTCCTATTGTACTTGTGAGGACATCGATTGGCAATATGGCCGAAGTTATTACATTTGAAGCACTTAATTCCTTTGCTTTTATGTGGACAATCTGTTGATGCATGCTCAAATTCACCACACGAATAGCACCGTATACGCTTGCTTGACTCATTATCACGATGTACTAACATTTTATGCGAATCTTGATATTTTCTATTGCTTTGATCTTTTTGTTTTATAGTTTCATAAATTTTTAATTTTTCTTTAAATTCACTATAAGAGGTCACTCCATACAGCATTATTTTGTTATTTTCTCGGTCGGTTATACCGTCTATAATATATTTTATGGCTACATAGTCTGGCATCTTGCTTCGTTTGCCAAGCTCTTTCATGATAAGCATGTAATCTATACATGATTCATTGGAACGTTTCTTTCTTGAACTCATAAGCTCGTGTATGGCTTTGATATCGACGGTATCGGGGAATTCTTTTAATAGTGCAGCTTTCAACTCGCTCCAGCTTTTATATGGTCGTTCAGCTTTCAACCACAAAGCGGCGGTTCCTTTAAGTGATCGTCTGGCTACTAATAATTGTTGTAGCGGTGTCCATCCGAATATCTCGGTATTGCTTTCTACGTCTTCAATCCAACGTGTCACGGGATAAGTACCATCACGCCCATTGAAATGAGGCACCAACTCGGCGGTCATTTGCAATATTTGCATGTGCGCTTGGTTCGATCGCACCTCCTTAACGTCATAAAAGTCCTCCTCGCCGAAATCGTCTTGCCGGCTTTTTCGTCTTCCGTCTTTAGGCATCTTTTCGTCGAACCGCGTCGTCATGTACCTTGTGCACGTGGAAGGCAAACTTCACGCCTCTCCAATTTTGTGAATCCGTAATATTCACCGTGAACTCCTTCTATCCCGGACGAGCCCCCAAATTGTGGGAAAAATAAAGGCGTTCGTGGCTTGAAATCACGTATATTTCTTCGTTTACAATATTTTTCTATACACCGGTAATCTCCTTGCGTTCGTCCTCAGTCTTTCGTCCTCCATTTATTCCTTCTCGCTCACCTCATACCCCTTCTCTTTCACACATTCATACGTTCCTTTCCACACATTTTAATCATCCTACATACATAAAATTAAAAATAAAACTCATTATATTCTTCTTTTTTTTATTTATTAAAATATTCTATGGCTTTAGGTTGAATATGAAAAAAAATACACAAAAAGTAGTTACCGAAGGCACGTCTGGTGCCTATATATGCTGAATATAATGCTTGAAATAACTGTCACTATATTACAAAAAGTTACTATGCGTTGTGGAGATTATTATTCTGGGAAATATGAATAGGCAACTGCAACTTTCTCCTCATATGTAGTTCTACTTTAAATTTTAGATGTTGTCACTGTAGTTAAAATGAATGGTCTAAAGTTTGTAGATAATGATTTTTATTTTTACACATATTGTCAAAAAATAATCTCTGCAAATCTCAACCTGAAATAAATCTTTGATTTAGTGATACTTAATGGACTTAATCGCACCTCACGTGGTGTCTTTTTAAATAGATAAAGATAAATATTATATGATAATTGATAATAAGATACGTATAATTACACACTTGAGAATTTGAAAAAAAAAACCGTTGATAACATTTTTTATCACAATATAAATAACAAGTGGCCGAAATCACGGACTCATTTTCTATAGATATCTCTGCAGAGATACATAGATTAATTTGTTTTCAATTTTCAAGTGCTAAGTGGAAAAAATGTTGGAAACAATTCATATTGACCATCGTGTCAATGCTCTAAAGTTAAGATCAGCACAAAAATACAACATTCCCCCTCAGAACTGTCATATTGGACATCTCGTTCTTCAAGGCATGCTCGATAATCCTAAAATGACCAATCAAGTAAGTGTGAAATGAAGATTTTTTTAAACAAAGTTTAATCAAAAATTTTTTTTTATCATCGTATATTAGTTCTCATTAGATTCATATTTACCATAGTATTCATGTAAAATTAATAAAAATTGCTCCGAACCCAGTTAAGTAGCTAAAGAGATCTTGTGTTACAAAACTATAAAATGTACTGCAGCCAGTCAAACCCCACACAAAATCGAAAATTTTCCTTTTTAACCCTGCCGGAGATCGAACCAGTATCAGTCAATTACACTTTGAAATCCACGTGCCATTCGGCGACATAAATATTTTATATGGATCCCTTCTTTACGGCAAATTTATGTCATAATATTATTACATACGCAGAAAACTAAATACATAAACTTAATTTCGCAGAAAGTCGTTTGGCATACACTTATAACTTAATAAATCAAAACTAATTCTGAAAGTATTAAATGCTGACTTTTATATGCATAATAATTAAAAATTATAATCAGAAATTATATTTAGCAGAATGATTACTTTGAAATTTTCTATTTGCTAAGAGACATATATTTTTAAAGATAATTAGTAAAAGCCTTTAGGTACTGTATTTTTCCATATAAATATTGATATTATTTTTTAAGTGTTTGTTTTAACTTATAAAATAAAATACAAAAAAGTTTTAATAAGGCGTCGTCGGCAACAGATACAATAGTAGTAATATGCTTTATTCGTCAAAGAAGATTATACCAAGTCTATTATGCCAAATTATTTACGAAGAATCGGATTTCTTTCTGGAAATACGAATTACACACGCAACCAAATTTAACTCAAACCAAATTCAAATCCAAATCATCCAAAAAATTTATGACATCTTTTATAATAATGAACATACATTATTTTAATAAAACCGACTTGCTTGGACCGCCTTTGCGATAGACTTCAACTATTAAAAAAGCATACATAATCTCCACATTTTTGAAATCTATAAAAACTGGGACAGGATTCAAATCCATGATCTTTCGCAATCCGGGCAACTGCTCTAACCACTGAGCTACCCGAGACCTCACAAGACTGATAAATTTTTCACATTATCCACCTGTTGATAAGTGTTCTAATATATAAACGATATTATTTTATTCAAATATTATCAGATTAATACTTAATGAACCAAACACAACGATTAATCACAAAAATCCTTTAATACTACGAGATGAATTATTGGTGTTAGTGAACTTCACACGCGTGTCTATTGGATAATAATTAAGATTTTTTACTTATACTAATATAATAGAATAGATTCTGTTGATTGTTTATGTTGTATAGGTTCCGAAACTAGAGGACCGATTAAATTCCTTTTTTTAAACTACGACATGGATTTTGCCTACGGAAAACTACATAATACGCGGATAACATAAGCTATAATTCACTCAGGCGAGGTCGAATAGTGTTGTAATATAAGTATATGTAGTTCTAATTAGTCAAATTATTTAGTAGCGTAATAGTGTATATAATTGTAATAATCTATTCCACTTTCCAGCCTTTGAACTTAATCTAGACAAAAGTATTGCTATCACTTTCAAACAATTACCCCCTTTAAAATATTACTGCGGATTAAAGGGCAGCATTTATTCTTTTTGAATGTCAATATATTATAATACTCTAACACAATCTTAATCCTAGTAATCTTAATTGTAATATACGATTAACGAATCCGTGAATAAATATTTGTTATTAATAAAATAGATCGAAGTTATAGTTAACATACATTTTATGAGATTTATCATTAATCTTTTTGATAAAACTAATGTATCTATTTCGATATTACTTATAAGTAGCTTAGCCGTAAATGGTATATTGCTCACTTTGATTATTCGGAAAAAATATAAGAAAATAATAACAATAACATTTATATGGTCACACAATGGTTTTGCAATTTTAGATCAGCATATTTGAATCGTCAAGACGATGTGCAAATATTAAAGTCAACTGGCAATAAATTTTGTTTTATTTAAAGAAAAAAATACAATATTTTTGAATGTTAAATAATTTAATAAACGTAAAAAAGCGAATGTCAAATCTTAGTCAATCAAAAGAAAAAGTTCTCTTTAATAAATAAAAAAAAAACAGTCAATAGAACGTAGTATGTTTCATAAATAAACGGTTTTTTCTATTCATTTTATCGCCTTTAATAAAAAAGATATTCGATTCGATGATAATACTGAAAGACATATAACATCTAAATTAAATAAATATTAATTAATTATGATTTTAATTCTAAAAAATTTCATTCATAAAAATTAAATTCAAAAAATAAAAGCTATATTGCAAATAACTGTTATATTCAATGTAATGTCGTTGCTTCTCAATATTGTATGTTAGGTAGTACGTGGAAAATAAGATCAAGGCCATAGGCATATTATTCCGAGAAAAATCTCAAATAACAGCAATCTTGAGAGCTTACTGAACCATAAATCATTACAACTAAACGACATATTTATTTAATATATATATTCATATTCATAGCTCGTAGTAAATTAATCGGTATAAATCATTAGGTGCTCATATAATAGATAATTCTGCAACATTATTTAAGATTACTTTTATTTTGTTTACATTCTAACCTAAAAGTATGTTATAATGTTGATTCATCATCATCATCATCAGCCCTTTTACGTCCCCACTACAGGGGCTCAGGCCTTCCTTGTGGGTGGTTAAGGAGGATGGGTCATGTCCCTTCAGGCTAGCCCAATTATTAACGACTGCCGAGACCAACGGCTTAAAGTGCTTGTTGGATTTTGGCCATTTTAAAATTTACGAGGTAGTGCCCCTGAAGAGGGGAAGTAAAAGGCCAGATGATGATGTACATTTCTTTTGTCACAGATCGATGCTGCAACGGACAAGAGTGAGACCAATGGATCCGTGGCGGTCCGCTCTATGCAGCTGGCTAGTGCTTTCAATAATTTCGGTTTGAAACCAGGAGACGCAGTAGTAATATCGGGGTTCAACCATCTAGACATCGCGATACCTTTCTACGCCTGCCATTATAATGGCCTCTCCGTCTGTGGCGTTGATCCGTGTGCAGGATTAGGTAACAGAATAAATCTTAATTCGTCTTATTTTTAAAACGCAGTCTAGATTTAAGTATAATTCACCTACAGCAAATTGTTTATGACATAAAGGAAAACATCAAATTGAGACGTGTGACTTAATTTAGTCAGATAACAGTTGAAGCTAGTAGGGCAATTCTGTTAATGTTTATGTAAAAATTGCATCTCAAGAGAATCTCAACTATTTGCATTTTGCCATTGTACTTTCTTCTTCAAGTCCAATATAAAGACATAGAACTAATAATATTAAATTTCAGATAATAAGTCGGTGAGCGTTTAGTCACAATGGACATTTTTTTATCAATGATTATCTAAATCAAATATCTATTGACGTAAATAATTTTCTAATCATATGTATAAAATATTATTTATGTAATGCGTATAGAATAATATTAGGAAACTAATTTATTAAATTAAAGTATTTAATATTATTTACTTTTATTTAATAAATCACTCCCCACGCTTTCGGGATAGGCCTACCCTGCCCACCTTGCTAGTCCAATGTGCATTGGTGTTCAGCTCCTCTCATGTAATATTTAGGTAACATAGTATTTTGCTATAATTACGATGTATACAATGTTTTGTTAAAAAACATATCATTCTGATTTTATTAGTTACCAATTTACCAGTTATAATTTCTGTACTATATTTAATTGAGTTTATCAAAAAGTAATTTGCATTTTGTCATTTGCAAAATGCAAATTATTTTTTAGTGATTTGCTAAAAAGTAATTTGCAAAAAGCAAATTATTGTTTAGTAATTTGCTAAAAAGTAATTTGCAGGTTAGTAGTCCTCTACCACCTACACCCGACGCGCCCGTATATACAGGTCACATATATTTCTGTGATATAGACTCTTTCTAATAACTCAATAGACAAATTTAATCATCTCCATACGATAATATCTAAACTTGCCATAATCATATTTGAAAATAACAAAATTTGAAAGGATTGAAGGGAAGGCACTTAAATTTTAAATTTAAAATTAAGTCCTGTATTTGCTGAGTCTATTTCATGCAATCAAATAAATTAATAAATCTTTACATTTTATAATATTATTATAGAAAAACTACATTTTCAAATTTCGAATCAATGTTCGAATTTCAAAAGGTTCATAAGTTTCTGCTACTATTATTATGCCATTAAAATATTATATCTACATTTCATTCCCCTAACTCGTGTGTTGGATATCCATTATTATTCTTTCTTGTTCATGTGTTATTCATTTGATTAAGAGAAAGGCACCTGGAGGAAAAGATTTGTGACTTGCATTAGTATAATTTAAGAAAGATAATATGACATACAACACAAATAAGGAATAGCAACTTTAGGACAGGGATGCCCAATCTATTTTAACCAAGAGACCCCTTTTTCAATGAACTAAAAATCTTCCCATTGATACAAAATATTTATCATTAGCGCGTTTGGTCTCATGCAAGGCCATAGAATAGGTGACCACAAACGCATTATCTCGAGCTCTTTCATGTTTCGAAAGACCCGTTAAACTATCGGTCTCGGCTGCATACAGTTTTTTTCGGCCCGTTTGGTGAATCATGGCCATTTCTCTGTTCGGTTCGATTGGATTCCATTCATAAAGGACACCTGAGCCCAGCAGACATTAATAAACTGTTTGGATTAAGATTAAGTGCGGACCACAGATTAAATTAAAAATTGTCCTAAATTACTTCCTCAAATAATCTCAGTTTGCCACACACGTAAAAAGCAACACAATCCACTCAACCGACTTTTACGACTGACCCAATTTACAAGCGACTTCTTCATTCTAAATATTACTAACACTTCCAATTTCACATAGTTAATTTCAACCGCCTTAGCAAGGATAGCGAAAATTTATAAAAAATATTTATAGGGATATAAAATGCAACAGTGTTTATCTCTATCCCTTTACTAAAAATAAATAAGATTTTACCTACTTTTATTATGCTTTTACATAATTTATAACTCGGTGGAAAATACATTTTAGCGATTTATAATATTTACAGCGGACCTAAAAGGACTCTACCCGGACGTTAAACCGAAAATAACATTCTGTCAGAGAAATATTGCGGAACACGTTAAAGAGGCATACGCCACGGCCAATATGGAAGGAAAAATTATTGTCTTTGACGACGAGAAAAACAACATGGAAAACTTTATCCAAGAATATAATGGAACCGAAGTCAATTTCAGGTGGGATATCCATTTACTTACTTAAGTTATTGTCACCTGAATATCGATAGAAACATATATTTATTAACATAACCTTTGCTTCATGACATGTAATATATTGTTTGTGTGTCCTATCAGTATCAGAATCGGTATATCAATGAAACATAACTGTAAATTTGTGTCCGCGAAACCCAATTATATAAAATTGTTTGTTGGTAATAAAGATCAAAAAACTAATTAATAATGATCTTTATTGCACAAAACCAATTTCGTAGTCAACTAATTAAATATAAAATAGATAGTGAGTAATAAAGTTGTAAGCTAAAAGTAGTGTTGTTACACAAAGTTTTCATTATAGGTGCACCTATTCCTAGTATTAAATAATACTCATTCCAAACTACCAATTTCGTAGTTTAACTTTTAACTCGAGGCCGAGGGAATCCGATTTATAAAGAAATAGGACCTAAATTAGTTATAACACAAATACCAAGCACTATCTTTCTAATGAATCTTGCTCCATAGTGTTAAAGTCGAAAATTGTGATACAAATGCAAATATGGTCTCTAATACTTTAGAGTAGAATCCGAAATAGCGTAATTGACAGAAGTAAGAGGTGTGTAGAAAATTTGTAAAAGGTGCTACCCAGTACATATTATAAAATACGTGAATATGTTCTATTAAATATGTCTCACCTCTTGCTAATGCGTGACTGTATAAAAATATATAAGCAAAAAATTACAAATTTACCTAAAAATATAACGATACTCAATTTCGTCCTTTCATTATATTCTTATATTAAATTAATATTGATAGGCCTAAATAGGATAAATCTACTTTGAAGCCAAAATGGGAGACATTCAATTTTATGATTGTTATGATGGTCTATTCTTAAATAGTTGAGAATTATTTTGGCGAAAAAATAAATTACCCGTAAGCATTACCTGAAAGAAATATGAAATGTGAAGCGAATAAACAAGAACTTTTAAAATTGGTCTACGATTCTCACAGAAATCAATGAACATAATATAAAAACACATACCCGTTCAAAATAAAACATCCTTTTCTATTTCGAAGTAAGTTAAAACTCATCAAATGTAAAATAAACAGACAAACATTACAACATGAAAAAGTAAAAGTAGGCAAATTAACTATCATAACAAGAATTTATTGATAAACTCTTATCTTGTTTTTGCGTATAGACACTACTCGCTAATTAATATATTTATCTCTAATTGCGTTATTTAAGTTGTGATTTGTTAGTAGATAAGAGTTTAATCGCATGGAAAATCAGCGCGAGACCTCATTTTATTTAACTATCTGTGGAAATATTTTATAGCAATGTTTGAAAAACAGTGAAGGAAAATGTGTCACAGACACTTCACTTCGCTGTGACACAGACTTTTATTCTCTTGAAGAAATTTATATAAAAAGGTTTTATTCTGTAGGATATACATAATTTATACTGGAAACCAGAATGAATTGAAAATGCTATAACAGCCTTGAAGTATTGTGATTATTTGAATATTTGAGAAATGAGATAGGTCATAAGTTTTTTTCATTCATACATAAAGTTGTTTTTATTACCTCATGTAGGCACTTTTTTAATTTTATTGGTATTGTGTGACCGTATTCTTGCCATGACTGTTATGACTATTAGAAAAATTTAATGTCCCATGCCAGGAGTCGGAAACCTTTTAAGACAAAACAGCAAAGGCACAATTTACAAAATTTCACTGTTTTAATAATAAATTTTATTTGAGACCTTATTTAAGATAAACGCCTTAGAATATCCCTTTCATTCATTGTCAGTATATCTTAATCGTATTATAGAATAGGTACTCAACTATGGATCGATTACACAATTTAAAGGATTTTCAAAATATTATTGTAAACGGCTCGATTGTTTTGTTCTTTTGTTATTAAGTTGCGATAAGAAAGCCCTGAAAGCAGTAAGCCCTATCCTACGCATCCGTATAACGCTTATCATATACAACACCAAAACAAAAGTCAACACTTAACGAAAATTATGAACCGACACATTTCAAAACTCATTAACAAAATTAGTAGACGTGTTATTCATAAAAATTGAAACGAACTTACCAGTGACTCGTGAATAATTATTAAAAGCGTTGGGAAATGTATTAGTCATTTGGAAACACGTGGAATGATTTGACTAATATAATAAAAACGTGATATTCTAAATAATATTATTGTAAGTTAAAAAAACTTACAAGGTAGTGCTATTTTATTTATATTGCTTAGTCTATGATATTTTCCGAAAAATTCGTGTATTTTCATAATGTTAACACAACTCATTAGTCATTATTTAGAGAAGCTTTAAATCAAACGATTGAATTGATTGACAAGAATAACTTTGATGTATCATTTCTGTTACTTTCTAATAAATAATGAAATGTGATTATTATATGTACACATATCGCGTCGAAAAGTTATCAATATAATGTTGTATAGTATTTTATTTATCTTAAAGTTTACTGTGATATTTAGATTCTGAATTTTCAATCTTTATACATTTTTTTCAGGCCAGCAGAGTTTGACCATTCAGAAATACCAGCGTGGCTGATTCTCACAAGTGGTACTACAGGAAATCCTAAAGTCGCTATTATACCCTACGACACATTACTCAACGGGATGTGCTGTTGGTGGTATGTATTTTTAAATGTAGTTTATAATTTATCATACTTGCAAACTTATAACAATTTTATACTTGGGATTTATATGTGTGATTCCAAAACTTGAAATGAAATCAATTTTCGACATCATAGAATAGCACCTATTTTTTTTTTGTTAAATTAAAGATAAGGTTTTGGTCCGTTAGACTTAAGTATACCGTTTCTTTTAATACTATATTTAAATATCGAAGACATTTTGGAGTTTGCTTGTAGAGATATTCAAATAAAATAAATATTAACGGAGGCTCCTATTTGTATAGGACATGACGTGACTTTATTGCTCGTTTTTTTTCTATATGTAGGCCTTTTTAATTTTAATTTTCAATTTAGCAGTTTGAAAGTGTACTTTAGCCCCTTTGCGTTACGATGCCTGGTAACAATTGCTACAAAAAAAATATACAGGGAATGAAATTAACGGTCATTAAGCAGATTAACAAAAAAAAATCTGTTGAACTATAGACGACACCCAAGAGACATTTTTTTCTGTAACTTGATAGGTCATACTAAGAAAAGTTAATTAATCATTTGCTTCGTTAAAAAATCATTTAGTACACGTTACGTAAAATAATTACAAAATACGCTAAACTATTTCTCTAGCCGCGTAATTACTTTTAAAAGTGATGTGCCGTTAATGTTTGCGTACATTCACAAGTGTTATATAAACTCCCACGACTTCATCCGTACCAAATTCCAATTTCCGTGATGATTTCGAGAGAACCGATTGTGCCAATAGCGAATAACTAATAAATGCTGAATTTCAATATTTTATAGCTGCTTTTCTTTACCGATAAATCTTTATATATAATCGATAAACTTACATATAAAACTCATATAGTTATAAAAATAATTTAGTTATTAGTCATCATCATCATCACCAGCATATTAGTATCCCCAAATATCTCAAGCCTTCCCCATGGATGCAATCGAATAGAGAAAATGGGACATGACGCGGGCCCAATGTGCAATATTTAGCATCAATGATATTCTTTAGAATTGTCAGTATTTTTTCCTACCACCTATTTAAGAATTAGTTCAGATAAGAAGAAGAAAAAAGCTAAATATGGACAAACGAATAGTCAGGGTTGTTTGGTTTCTTTTTCATTTTAAGATTTTATCCACAATGGAATTGTAATTGACATAAAAATCATGTCAATGTGTGTTTCTTATTAGAAATATCTTATGAAATATGTATTTCAAAGGGTCGAAAACTAATAAATATTACTGTCCCGATTTTATCGTATATTTATTATGAGTCATAAATCATGATTTATGAGCCGTAATAAATTTCCGATAAAAATCTGAATAATTGAAACACGCATTTACAACACATTAATTACCACATTAATTCCTATGTGATATAATTAGTTACCATTACAATTTTTTTCATTAATATCAACTGGTACACACAGGCACAAACTTATATCGATCTAAATTTGGATTTCTTGTTTCACTATGTTGTAAAAAATAGTTTACCTATTCCCATATAGCGTCATTAACAAACAAGTTTAACGTCAAAGTAAATGGTGCTAAATTTAAATTTATTTTAACTGTTATGTGACAAATGGTCACAGTTTATATTATTAAAAAGAGACCAAACATAGCTACTGCATTCTAGAAATAAATAATACCCTTGTTTTAACTTATTATTTAGTATTAGCTTATACTTACCTAGTTTCTGTTTAATAATATGAATTTTAACTTATGCTAAGTGTACCTATACATTTACTCGGACGACGCTAAATCTTGTTTATTTATTAATTATACTGGGCGTATCTATTTTATCTAATTTCGTTATTATTCAAAAAGAACTTATATTATAACTACGTATATAATCACCCCCTCATGGGTGACTACTCAAATAGTTTAACAACCCTTAAGTTACCATACCATCATTAATAAAAACGTGACCAATGTTGGATATGGAATAAACTGAATTAAAAATATATATATTTTAGCTTTCATTTATCTATGGGATTTAGAATGAATCGATTCAATCAAAATACTTGTATAATAATAATAATGATCTTTATTGACTATATAATCGATACAATTAATTTCCACACCAGTGATACTTTTCATTAATATTTATTTATCATCTGTTGCTGAACTTGGTTGATACCTGTATTTCAGCATACAGCGCCTCTGTCCTCAGAAAATATGTTATAAAAATAAAATAAGCCACACTAAATAGATCTGAACAATCAGAAATAGTCAACTTGTAAATGTATGAACTCAGTTTAGAAATCCTGAGATGCTGAGAGCGAATGTTCGAACTGCGGTCACCATCTGTCCGATTAGAGCACGTTGAATATGTAACGCCGGCAGTGACGTCGATATACTGAATATTTATGTCCTTAAACCCTAGCTTTGTACGTCCGAACCGTAGCAGAAAAATATTTCTATATACAAACCGAAAAACGAACTCGGCATAAGAATAGCACTAAAGATGTGCTTTGGCTATATGTTTGCATATTACTACGTAATCATGCTTGGGCTGTATTGCACCACAATAGCCGTAAAAATTTAGGTTTATGTCAAGTTTGATGATAACTATCATTCTGACTTTAACATAGACTGCAGATTGCGTTGCACCATCTTCTTTTTGTGGCCTATGCCTAGTATTGTACTATAACAACAATATGGTCATCTAACCATTGTCATTTGACAAAGTTAGGCAACTCATTATTTGCTTAGCCGGTACTTTAACATATTTGTTATTGTTAAAGTAAGTTGGTGCAACCAACCCTAAGAATGATTTTATTGCTTCTCAAATAATTTAATTATTTAAAAAAACTTGTGGTTGACTCTTCGCGTCACTATAATTTATAAATACTCATATAAAATCTTTTACTCTTATAAATTTACGGCGTTACCAATAAGAAATGTTTAAAAGTTTTTTTTTTTTTTATACTAATTAATGTTTAAAAGTTTTGTCAATTGGAATGACATAAACAGAGCCATGTTTAACTAAACAACCGTTAGAACTTTATTATTAATAAGGGTACTAGTGTAAAACTGTTGGCCCCGTTTCACTTGACATAGAAATATGTTTATTTTCAGGAGACCTTTTACAACTGTCATTAACCTTTCACTGACGATGTCATCGTTCCAATGGTTGTCTGCCTTAATTTATTTCATTTGTGGACCTTTAAGAAAATACACAAGGCTTCAGTGCTCACTTCCTCTCAATGCGCCACTGCTGGTTTCAATAATCAACAAATATAAGGTAAATAAAATTAATTTATTATTAATATAACTGATTTTCTACCTTTAAAATACACTCCAATGACTCTAACTGGTCATAATAAATTGAATTATTTTTATATCTTATTGATTGTTCATAGCTTAATAAAATAAATGTTTAGGTGGATTTATACAATTTAAGTTAAATCCGGTACAAGTAAGGAATTAAATTTTACTTTCAATAGGTATTAATACAGTGTCATCTAATAAGTCAGTGAGTGGTTTTCTCACGATCTACTAATGTTAACGTAATAATGGCATCGGTGGCATCTCAATAAATTACTTTTTCAATGCAGTTGCTCATAAAGCGCTATTTTTTTAATCCATTGTAAACACCGAAAGTGAGTCTTTAAACACGTGTTAAATAAAAATGTACTGAAATCCTTTACTGCACACGTGTTTAAAAGTATTTTTTTTTGGCCGAGCACCAAAGAAATTAAAAAAGAAATTGATGAAAATATGTCAAACTTTAGAGGCAAAAGTATTTCATGGAGCCTAGAATGAATATTTTCAAATAAAAAAGACACAGACAAAGACATGACACGAAAACATGTTCAAATATCACGTTTAATATTAACAAATAATTTTTACCTTTAATACATACTTAGTTTTATTAACCTAAATATTTGTTTTATTTCCTCGCAAAAAGCATTGAAAAATGTTGTAAGTAACTTGAGCGTAAAACCTTACTTTCCGCACTCGTATCTTAAATAACTATTTCCACTGAAAATAATATCAGTACAATGGCATTTTGATGAATCAATAACTGCAGATCTTTTTTTTATAATATAGTAACAAAACCTCTATAAAAATGTACTATAGAAATGCCATTGATACGCCATTATAATGATAATAATAGCCAAATTAAGCCCCTGATATCTTTTGTCATATTAAAAAACATATGTCAGAAGTTACAAAAACCGGAGTAATGAAAGTTGAGGAGTCGAAAGATGTAAGGATCGTGGTTCTGGCGTTTGGTCTTCTTTGCCTACGGCAAAGGGATAGGGACGTGAAGATATAAATATCTATATAAAAAACAGAACAGATCAGAGTCACAAAGATATATTACATAAATATATAAAATAAAATATATAAAATTATATTTTTATACAGCCTGAATTAACGGCGTGGATTCCACATTTGCTTGGGCAGTTCTTAGCAGGTACTGAGAAAGTATGTGACGTATCGTGCTTCAAATTTGTCGTGGTGACCGGCAATCCAATGGAAAAGTCAGTTTTAGACAAATTCAAAGTGAGTAAACTACAGTTATATAAAAAAAATATTGTGAACAAAGAAACCAGGGCTTCCAATAAAATCCGTGTTGCGGGATTACATGCGCGGAATGTCCCGGGGGTTTGTGGGACTGGAATGAAACATGCACATTTTGTAGTTCAAATATTATTTATTTAAGTTTTCAGTGACAAATAAACGGTTTAATTTAATTTATCTAAAGCTAATAATAACATTTAAATTTTCTTTTTTTCACTTCATCATATTCTTTTTGTTTTACTTTTTACACATAAAACGAACATTTTTGTGTAATAATATTTTTTGTTTTAGGAAAGAACTAATGCCTACCTGTATTTAGCATATAGTATGACAGAACTACTTGTTCCCGGTTTTGATTACAACAGCGAAACACCCTTCGGTTCTGTTGGAAAACCCTATGAGAAATATCAATATAAAGTAAGTTTCATACGATATCAATGTATAGTATTATACTATAAATCGTACTATCTTTTATTCATTATTGCCTTATCCAAATCAATTAATATTCTTATGTGTATTAATACATATAGTTATCATTTAAAAATACCATTTAATACATATTATACGGTTTACCTGACCTTATGAAAAAGTGACATGAGTATCAAAGAAAAAATGAGAATATTGATGTTTATGAAGTCGGAATTATAATACGCCAATAATTGAATTTCTAAAATTGTAATTTCCTGTCTTTAAAGTTAACGTAAGAAACTGACATAAACAATTTTGATTTTAGTTAATAGATGATCAAGGACATAGAATAGATAAACCTTTCAAAAATGGCGAGCTTTATATTAAAGGAGACGATTTCTTTAAGGTAAGTTTAAAATCTTATATCCTAAATAAGGGTGAAAACTGTTACAGGTGAAAATATTAAAAATGTATTTTTGTATTTTTTACCTAATCAATAAATTTGGTACATTGAGTTGAAACTTCGCATGACGTCAAGTCGATGTACAAAATAGAATTTCATTTTTTTTACTAATACGTCATCCCTATTGTGACCTAAGATTACATCTTTTCAATTATTTATATTCAACACATAACTCATATTTTGAACTCATTTATCGGCATCAATATTCAGTTTCTTAAAGCTCTCAGCAATTTTTGTTTTATTCTACATATACCATTTTCTTATATATTCTATATCAAACAAAACATTCGACCAGTTTTCGGGGGTTAGTAATTAGACTAAAAGCTAGCGATGAAAATTCGAAGCCATTTAATGCCTATAAAGTTTATTACAGCTGCGTTTTTGCTTGTTTCTGAGTAATGGATGTGATAGTCTGACAGGTAAAACCCAAGCGTTCGGCTACTTAACTTAGGCAGCTGCTAAAACATTTACGCGATTAAGTTAAAGCTATTTGGTAATTTTCTATTAATTAGTGAACCCGTGGAATATAAATAAGTTCTGCATATATGCTTCTATAGTCGGAATAACTATAATTTTATTACATACTTTTGTAATGAAACTGTATGATATCAAATAAATAACTTAATTACAATGCGATAAGTTCATGCATTATATTCAATGAAATATGTTTAAAAAACTCACTAGCCCCAGGTACCCCAAGATGGCACTTTAGCAATCCGGGTGAGTGCTTTAACCATTGAGCTGCTCGAGACCCAACAGGACTGACGAATTTTTCAAGCATTGTTACTTTTCACTATTAGTGGGCGTACTTTCATCAATGTTCAGGCAATCCACCCAAACAGACGAAAGTATTTTTTTTTTAAATATTTTAAACTCTCAACTATACGACGAAAATTTGTTATAATAACGAATGAAATGAAAAATAATATAATAATTCATGCATCACCTTAATTTATCAAAACATAGTCGCTTTCTCTGTCCCTATATCCCTATGTTTGCTTAAATCTTTAAAAAAACGCAACAGAATATGATGCGGTTTTTTTCATAGATAGGGTGATTCAAAAGGAAGGTTTTTTATGTGTCATACAAGACCAAGCGGGCGAAGCCACTGGCGAAAAGCTAGTTTATTCATAATCAACAACTTAAATTAAAGATTGAAGAAACATTGCTAGTCCACGTCCACGTCCAATTAATTTCAATCAATTTGTAAATTCATATAGGTATACAAAAAAAATCGTTTTTAATATATCACCCTTATTATAGGGATATTTGGCAAACCCTGAAGAAACAAATAAAATGTTGACTGAAGATGGCTGGTTCAAAACAGGAGACATGTTCTATAGAGATGAGGATGACAATTATTATTTCGTCGAAAGAAAGCGTCTTTTGATCAAGAGTTCCGGATATTGGGTAAGTATTTATTGGCTTCGTATAATATGAATTTAAATTAAGCTCAAAAACACGTAACAGGATGTGCCGATAATCGGTTTATTGAATGTACAGCTTTTATAGAGAACGTGTATCCGAAAATAAAAAAATCACAATAGTTCTTTTCTCATCTGTTGTATTTTAAATAATTTTAGTATATTTACTGGACTAAAGTTAACGGACCAGTAGCTTTTAAGAATTAACTAATAATTGATTGTAATCGTGTGTCATGGTGTCATTGAGCTACTTATACAAAAAAACTGTACCACAATTTGATTTATTTGCTGGTATTAAAAAATATATGTTTAAAGAATACAGTAAACTTTTGTAATGTCAAAGTTCAGTAAGTAAGTACTTTTTAATTTTCTGACAATAGATTCTTTTTCATCTCTCAGTTAGATCTTTAAATGACTCATTTGGTTTTTTTAAGATATCCTCAATTTTACTAGTCTAATGATAATTAGTATTACTTTCATCAATATTTATAAATATTTTGCATCTCATTACAGTACTTATAGGTACATTTCATTTCATATGTTTCTGAAATCATCCGTCGCATTTTTAAGTTATAAAAATGAACTATAAATTGAACAACGACAGCTAACTAAACAAACAACTCGGCTTATCGAAATATGTCAGTTACGACAGTATTTTTGCGTTACAATGTATTTTTAACAGGAAAATCAGTTAAATTTGTTTGCAATACTATTTTTACATTAAAATATGAAAGAATTTTTAAATTGTTATTGTAATTAAAACTATGATATAGTTATTATCTACTCAATTAACCTTGTAATCATAGCTTCGATTCGTCCATTTGAAAATGCAATGAATTCGTAGAAAACTAGACTGAATATACTGTTGTATAAGTGACAGTAATGTTTTATTTTGAATTAAATATCTCATGTGTCGTGAAATTATTCTAAACATACTGTTTCTTGCTCTCTCGTTCGTACCGCTAAGACACAAGACATGACACTGCAAAATGAGACTTCTTCCATCTGGTTACACACGTTGCTTTCTCACATAAGATTACTTTTATATTATCTTGATCTAGAAAATATATATATGAATATATTCATATTGTTGCCGATGATCTGATTAAAACCTTTTTGATAGTTTTTGTATACTTTTGATATCTTTAATGTTTTGTTTTGTATTTTGTTTTATTATATGGCATTATATTATATAAGAATATATCATCATCAGCCCTTTTACGTCCCCACTGCAGGGGCTCAGGCCTTCCTTATGGGTGGATAAGGAGGATGGGCCATGACGCTCCACGCTGGCCCAATGCGGATTGGAGGGTATTAACGACTGCAAATGCAACCGAAACCAACGGCATAACGTGCCTTCCGAAGCACGGAGTAGCTCGAGATAATATTTTTTTTGGTCACCCATCCCGTGACCGACCCTTGCGAAAGTTGCATAACGACAACGATCACTGGCCACGGCGCTTATCCACTACGCCACCGAGGTACTCCTAAGAGCCACTACTAAGAATACATAGTAAATATTAAAGTCTAAATCAGTAAACAGCTGATTTAGACTTTAATCTAAATCAGTAAAGCCAACAAGATTCCAATAAATCAAACCGTTTTATACAAGAGAATAAAAAACACATAACTCAATATCATTTGTACGTTCACATTTGGACCTCAATAAAATCTTCCGCAGCCATCTCCCCCTGTGTTTTTAATTAAACCTGCAACAGGACAGCAGTCGGCGATTGATTGAAGTCAGTGGAGCCTAATTAGAAATCTGATTAGATAGTGAGAAGTGGAAATAGAACGATTGATCAATCTGATTGCTTGTTTTCCAGTGAAATAGGGCTACTGTAACTAAAATATATCTTTTATATTGTTTTTTAAATAAAACAAAAGAAGACAGTATCTGGTTTTTCAAATAAAGGCAACTTGTTATTAAAATATTCATCATTCAAAAAACTAAGACATAGGATTAGGAAAAGAAGGAAATTGTACATGGTTTTTGAAGTAACCTGGTGAAGGAAGAATACTCTTATTTCGGAAGCATTCGAACTCTAACGCACATTACACGATAATGGGTTTCATAATTTCCCATGAAACTGGAAGAAATTTTTAACTATGTCCAGTTCTCACAATTTATTAAAAAAATATGAACTTTTCTATTCATGAACATATCAATTATTACGTACGTAATTGGCCCACAAATAAAATCCTTAACACCTAATAATCGTATTTTTTTCAGTGCGCTTATCGTCATCAGTCCTGTATAAAGTAATTAATTAATGTTGCATAACGCTTGCTCATAAATGTGTGGTTGGCGATTTATTACACGATTATCTCAACACTTGCTGAACTCAAATATTCCACTTTCTTGTCTTATCGAATCGACACTAACTTCGCGTCGTATTTCATAAAATAGCACGGACTGACTTTCGAAACTGCCAATAAAACTTTTCATAATCTAATCAACTTGTAGAATTAAAAAAAACTTAACTGTTGCTTATATTTTTTTAAAAGTTGGAATTATAAAAATTATAAAAAAGAATAAATGGCTTTTTTATAAAATATACATTTATATATTTATCTGATCTGATTTCTATAAAAAGTTATGGCCTTTCAGGAATACAGTTCTCAAATACTCTTTTTAAGTTAAAAGCATTTTTTTCTTTTAATAATTTTACTAGGTCATAGTAGATAGTCGATTTATCCAATATCAAATAAGGTAATATTATCATTAAATATCCAATCTATTCAATTCCAGGTCTCACCACTTCAATTAGAAGGAATCATCAAAAAACACCCGAATGTTGCTAACGTATGCGTCGTTGGCATTCCGGACAAGGAAAGAATAGAAGCACCAGTTGCAGCAATAGTCAAGAGGCCTGGAACAGATGTGAAGCCCAAAGAAATCTTTGATCTGATCACAGGTAAGCAACTTTTTTATGATGGTAACAAGGTAGTAATGAGTCAAATGCAGTTGTTCATCATCATCATCAGCCCTTTTACGTCTCCACTGCAGCGGCTCAGGCCTTCTATGTGGTTTAGGAAGATGGGCCATAACCTTCCACGCTGACCAATGAGGTTTGGAGGGTATTAACGACTGCAAATAAAACCGGGACCAACGTCTTAATAAGCCTTCCGAAGCACAGAGTAACTCGAGATAATAAGTTTTTGGTCACCCATCCCGTTACCGACTCTTACGAAAGTTGCATAACAACAAAGATCGCGGGCCGCGGCGCTTATCCACTACGCCACCGAGCTACGCAATTGCAGTTGCAGTACGCAGTTGTTGGCATCACATAATAGTTACGAAGGGATAGAAAAAAGATCGGCAGCAAACGACCATTGAGAATACTTTTCCGCGAAACTGACTGAGAGACGTATATATATAATAATAACAAAGAAAATAAAAATATTAATTAGAATAGATAATAAAACAGCTAAAGCCCTTATTGAAATGAAAACAAAACTGAACCACTTCAGTCACCTATATCCAAACTCAAAACAACATAGAAAAGATCATTTCTCTACATAGATTCGTGGGTCTACCGCGTCAGTAATTGAACTTTATGCAATTGTCATTAAATTTATATTTAATTATCTCAGCGTTCAATGAAAGTTAAAGCTACTAAATAAGATACCTGCATTTATTGACTTTTTAAGTTCAGCGCCGCCCACGAACGTTATTATTGTTAAGCAACTTTCGCAACAGTCGGTCACGGGCTGGGTGACCAAAAGTTATTATCTCGAGCTACTCTAGGCTATGGAAGGCACGTTTATCCGTTGTCCTGGCTGCATTTGTAGTCGTTAATACCTTAGGACTACGCCATCGTCCAAATATAATTCAAATAGTTACATCATGGTTAATATATTGCAGAATCGAATCCTGAACCACGCCATCTTCACGGAGGATTATTCTTCATGGATGCATTACCCATGACGCCCTCAGGAAAAGTACATAGATATAAAATAAAAGAAATAACTTTGACAGCAGACCGTATTATGCCCCCAGCAAAATAATCTTTATAGTAATGCCGATAAAGTTTAAATTACAAACACAGCGGTGCTTACTTATTCTCTCTTCCAACATTGTATTCGCACATCAGATCAACTCACCTAATACTTCAGTATTAAAGCCCCAAGCTTTTAAAAAATACACCGTCTGGTATATATATATTGGGCCATGAACTAATTATCTAAAATATATTAATCAGATAAGAACAAATCATAAAAATCTCCAATTAGGTACGTTATTTAACTTATGAGCATTAAATCGCTGAATTCTGATGTTTTGTGATACAGCACCGCCTAACCCTTACTAGAAGCAACTAAGATTTCCAATATAAATAAACCCATTTGTAACACTATAGAAATACGATTCGCACACTATGATTTTTCGTGCTAAGAATACTAATGTACTGAAATTATAGATGTTACCATTATATTCATATACTTGTACAGGAATTATATAATACTATTATATTGAGATACTTGTATAATATATTCCTATCCAGTTCTTAAGCAAAGATCTCCATTATCTACGAATCTGTCATATCTTTCCTCTGCTCACTTGCATTTTCATAAAGAAAGGAAAATTAATGTTTATTTTATGTTTATTTATAAGTGAGTGAATGATTTTGTATAAAACTATTTCATAATTGTAAAATGAATCTGTTTGTATTGTCAACTAGGTATAAGTATTTTGTTTATATGATGTTACTCTCAAATTTTAAGAATAGTCAATTTATAATCTTACAAGGATCTTTGTAATCTAATCTAAACTTGTATATTATAAACTGACATTACTTATGAATTTTACGGTGACATAAATATATATATATATATATATTATGTAATTAGACAATAAATTTTCTTAATGTAAATTGTGTGTTTTAAACTTCCTATAGATAAGGTATCGCATCTGTAATCGCAATGGTAGAAGTTAAATATCTTATATTATGCCTTAGTATAAGATATATAACTTCTACTACTGATTTCCAAAAGACACTCTTTAGGTTCATTATTACTTACCTAATAAAAGGGGAAAAGTTGTTCATTATAATGTTCTCTAAGAACATGAAACTTTAAAACATCATATCAGCTATATCAGCTATTCCATTAAAAAAAACTCAAACTCAAACTCATTTATTGCTTTCATGTGGTTATTGCTTAATTTTGGTAGGACTTATAGATGACAAAGATTAGGTCATGTCTGAATAAGCCTACCAATATACCAATCTAGCCAATTTAGTCATAATAAATCTGCAAATCTATCACTAGGCACAAAGGTTAACGTACGAAATTCTTTGTTTGACATCTGAATTGTACAGTAATTTATTTTATAGTAAAACGATTGTTCCTTAAAAAGATCTTAATATCGCAAGTTTCAAGAAACAAGTAATTGCTATTTGGTAATATAAACAATATGTATCATTAACTATCATTACTATAACAAACTATCTTGTCTAACACAGAACTGTTACCCCATAGAGCTTCAATGAAATAAGATCTTTATTACCTTTTGAAAAAAGTTTGTTTAGTATGATGAGACAACGCTGCGTTGAACAACGAATTTGAGTCATCACCTGAGAATTGTGTAGCTAGTATGATCGTCTATAATCGCCCACGATCAACGATAATGGTGCAAGTGTCGGTTTTTGGGACAATCATCAAAGGAAGTTTGGCCATGTCGTGCGCGCGTCCTCACAATCGCCGATCACTCAGTTTGTATTTTTTTTACGATACAGTTCAAACACGAGCTGTTTCGATGCCTGTAATTAATCTAAAAAAGACGTAGCCGAAGAAGACCTATAATGAACCTCTTATGTTTATAGAATTATATCAAAAGAACGCCCCACAAAGACAATTTGTATTCTTATTTCAACGTCCATATCGTTCAGATGGCATTTAACAAATGTAGTATAATAAATAATGTGGACAGAGGCGCAATGATGGTGCCACTCAGGGATCGCCCATCATAGGCGATAGTGGAGAGGGTCCATAACTGAATAGCACTATAAGTCCAATCACCGCATAGAGAGAATTTCGAGCAATGAAACCCGGCATTACATATTTCTTTTACTAATTCGCTATTTCGCGCTCACACAGATGTAATTATTTATTATTTTATATTTAAATAAATAAAACTTAATTGCCTAGTGAAATAGATAAATGGCGGACTTAATGCCAAAAAGGCATTATCTACGAGTCAACCAGAAAATTTAGTACAAAACTTAAAGATATACATACACATACATAAATAAATGCATATATATAACTGTAACACAAAGTACGAAATAAAATCTGGGGTCAGATCAAGAAATCCTGTTTGAAGCATGGTAGAAGTTGCGAGCTGCTGTCTTGAATGGAAATTTGTTAGGAACAATTCGGACGTTCATAAGGAGTGCACTCCAAAGACGCAAGGCAGTTAGAATGAAAGAATAAGATACAAAACCAGAATGTAAAAAGGGGTTTGGAGTACCACACAGTACTACTGGAACGAAGATTATTCTGGTGAGAGGCACCAAGGATTTCTAACCGCGATTTCAAATACTCAGGTGCTCGTGGATCGAAAAGTATCTGGAAATATGTGCAAACAATCCTTAAGCACCTACGTTCCTAAATAGAAAGCCACTCAATATGTTGACGAAAATTGGAGATTTGGTCATATTTGCGCAGACCGAAAACAAAACAAATTGTATTGTTCAGAAGACGATTCAATCTAATGAGAAAGGTTTGATTGATATCTCAAGTACAGACATCAGCATAATTGAAAAGAGGATGTACAAGAGCTTGGACGAAAGCAGACTTAGTACGGGGATGGACAAAGTTTAAGTCGATACAACGAGCCGAGGGTGCTATGGATTTTACAGCAGACATTATCTATCTGATCATCCCAGTGCAAAGTACTGCCAAGAATAAGCCCAAAATTGTTTACCTTTGATTACGTTTCATTATTTTAGCGACACTTTGGCGACTGATTACTTTGGCGACATTGCGTATGCAATTGGTTTCCTGTATAGGAGACCAATCAATTATTGCTGCATCCCTCACAAGCACCACAATATCCAATCGCGCGAAATTCTTCATGCAAACCATCCTCGGCTTAATTTTGGTAGGACTTATAGATGACAAAGATTAGGTCATGTCTGAATAAGCCTACCAATATACCAATCTAGCCAATTTAGTCATAATAAATCTGCAAATCTATCACTAGGCACAAAGGTTAACGTACGAAATTCTTTGTTTGACATCTGAATTGTACAGTAATTTATTTTATAGTAAAACGATTGTTCCTTAAAAAGATCTTAATATCGCAAGTTTCAAGAAACAAGTAATTGCTATTTGGTAATATAAACAATATGTGTTATTCATTATATCATGTAATGTATAAAGCCGAAAAGACTTTTGGTCTAAAGACAAATATTGTGGTGCTCAATAGTGCAGTGTCATTGTTTTACTCAAAAGTTTGTTTAGGAGCCACTCGGCTAATACGACGGAGAAAATTTGATGACACCAGCTGTACATAGAGATTTTCATGAGTTTACTGAGAAAAATTGGTCAGATTCCAGTTCCACTGACTTGCAGATTTACATTACTCAGAATAACTTCTAGTAAACGATTACGTAAAAACACGTAATGCTTAAAATTTGTCAGTCCTGTTAGGCCCTGGGTAGCTCAGTGGTTAGAGCAGTCGTCCGGATTGTGAAATTACCAGAGACAAAGTCGATTTTTAAGCATTTTTCATTAAGAAAGTTTTATTTAATGTAAAAGGAAGATATTATATATGTACATCGATTTAACGTTTTTCATATTTAATCATTTATAAATTCATTAGCTGTTCGGCGACTTCGCCCTCGTAAATTGTTTATTTTTGGAATGTTCGGAGCCTTAAGAGATTTTCCTGTATATACAGAATGGGGCAGAAATAATGACACGGGGGTCTACTGTCTTTGTCCATGAACGAAAATTCAGAAAATTTAAAATCGTTCATATATAATCGATTTTTTTTAAATCATATCCGAGAACATTATCTGTGCATCAGAGGCAGTGTCTGGTTCTACCTCCATTGCATTATAAATTATCTAAAAATGGGTTTCTTTGACGTCACATTAATATATCGAAAATTCGTTTTCAGAGAGACTTTAGCCTTCTTGTTTAGAGGAGGTGTAATAAGACACTAATGCCCGTTTTTACTAAACTTAGGAGTCGCTCAAATCTGTGACCTAAATATTTAGGAATTGTTTAAGGTTAAAATGCATTTCACCAATTACTATGAACTACTTAATGACATTAAGTAATGTTTAATGTCGGGTTCGATTTTTTATAGAATCGCCCAATATTTTTCATTGACCTGCAGTCAAGGGATAAAAGAAAAAATATTTGGGTGGATTGTAGTAGTGAAAATGTAACAAGTGCTTAAAAGAATCGTCGCTCAGCGATTAGAGCAGTCCGGTTTGCGAAAGGTCATGGGTTCGAATCCTATCTCAGGGTGCCAGGGACCTAGTGGATAATTTAAACATTTTTCATTAAGAAAAAAAAATCTATTTGGAATTAAACTAATCTGCTTGGGTGTTTCATAAGATTAGACGTTTCCTAGCTAAGCTACACCGTGTTTTTGTTTAGTGAAAATGGTTTAAGTGATTTGTTGGACTAAATCTTTTTCATCGTAGCTTGTACAGGCCAAGAATTCAATTACCGGTTTATAACTTTTGCCCCGCAGCCATAAGTAAATATTTTACCCAATCATAAATCAATGTATATTTTCGTATACACTACGCTCACATACACAATAACATTTCACCGTAACCTGAACTCTAACACTAAAATGTCCCCAATGATCTGAAATGCAAGACGAACTAAAGTATTCTAATAAAACTGGTGCTCTATAACGTAAAGTGAGTTGGATCCGACGAAAGAGTATATACGCTACCTAAAATTGGGGTCGAAGATACAGTAAAAGTTCCTTGGTAACGATAACTAGACCACGTTCCCATGGAAACTGGTTACTACTACTGTTT